GCCAAATATTCCCAGCCTTTGCCAGCTTACCAGACGTGATGGCAGCCTTGGTGAGCAGGCCAGGACTGTGGGGCTTTCCCAGCTGGGGCTTCTTCCAGTGGAGACACGGGGACGGACACACACACACCACACACACACACACCACACACACACACACCCTCTCTCTTTCTCTCACCTGTTCCTGTCATGTTCTTGTTTTGGAGCCTAAGAGCTAAGTGTTGTGTGTTGCTGCCCAGCACCAACCAGTCTTAACTCTTTTCATTGTCCGTACTCTTTTGCATTAAAAAATTTTAATGGGCACTATTCATGCATGTGATACAAAATTAGTAATAGAAACCGATCCCATTAAAAGCTTCCATCATCCTATCCCTGTCCTCAAGCCACCCAAGGGACTATCCTCTGAGCACATTGGTGCTACCAGTCTTGTGTTCTTTCGGAGATGTTCTGCATCTGCAGCGTGTTATGGATGTTTGTGGTATGCACATTTATATGTGAGAGGGGTTTTGGGGGTTTTTTTTGCCTCCTTGCCTTTATTTCAGATATGAAGGTGTATCAGAGATTGCTCTGTATATGTATTTAGAGAGCTGCGTATTCTTAACAGCTACACTGAATTCCACTCTTGTATGGCTATACCTGATTTACTTAATCAGCCCCCTGCGGGTGAACATTACGGTGATTTTTACTCTTTTTGCCATTATAGACAAGGGTCTGATGAATTTCCTTCTATTCCCCCACAGAGTTTTAAGAGGAAACCTGGGCAGGCTGACAATGAACGCTCCTTGGGAGATCACAATGAGCGTGTGCATAAGAGGCTGAAGACTGTGGATACGGACAGCCACGCCGAGCAGAACCCGGCCCAGCCGCAGGCCCAGGTGGAGGACGCGGAGGCATTTGAGCACATTAAGCAAGGCAGCGCGCCCTATGATGCGCAGACCTACGGTATGGAGCAGGGAAGGCTTCTCCTTTGCTCACCCAGCTCTGTGAGAGCTTAGGCTGACTGTGTGTCAGGTGTTGTTACAAATTCATTTTAGTGGGGAGGGGAAATGGCTTTTTAAAATTAGTTTCCTTCTAATAAGAACTGTGCAGAAATATAATTTGTTTTTGGCATAAAGTCATCTGTAGCCAGGTGCAGGGTTTGAGTGCTCAGAGTTTCTGGGTCTTGTGCAAGCTTTTTAAATATCCTTGGTAACTGCTGGCTGTATCCAAACCCAGCAGTGATCTCAGGGATTCTGAGACATGGACGTTTCTTCTTCATCCCCTCGAGGTCGCTCCCTGCAGTGGTGGGAGCTGTGAACTTGAGTGTTCTTCCCGTAAGTGAAAAGGGGAGAAAAAAATCTCAGCATAAGAAGAGAGTAGTCCGTCATCACTCAAGTCTCCCCTTCTTGTTCTCCTGGCGGCTGTTCACTGCTTCCAGCCCTAGTATGTGAGCTGGTGTTGGTAATGCGCACCTGTGAGGATGGTGCAGAGATGACTGCTGTGCAGTGAATCACTCTCCCTCTCCCTCTCCCCTGCTGTTCAGGAAACTGAAGCTGCCATGCGTGGGGCTTTACTTTGTGCCCAACAGTGTTCTGAGCCTTTGCTGTGATCATGGACTTCTTCTAAAATAATCTTTATGAGCTCAGATACCTCTATTTCATAGATCTGCTGAGGCCAAAGAAGTTTAAGAACTTGCCCAAGATCACGATGCTGGGATTCCCACATTGGTCTCTCTGTGCCCTGTGTTGTTCCACTCTTAATCCCTGCAGTTTCTCCACCCATAACTTGGCTGTGGGGCTAATTCCAGGAGCTCCTGTGAGTCACGTGCCCAGCCTGTTTATTCTGATTCAGTCTCTGGTCACAGCAGTAGAGACCTAGCTAAACATCCTTCTCGGTGGCCACATGTACAGCTGCACTATATCCTTGTAGCTTCTGTGAGGGGGTGGGTAGAGAACAGGCAGTTAGATCAGCAGGTCGCAGACAAGCCAAGTACTGCATCCAGGCCACGTAGCTGGTCAGTGACAGAACCAGCATTAGTAGAATTTTGGAAGCTAGACCAAAAGCACACGATGACTTTGTTCTGCAAAGATCTAGGCTTTTTAAGTGTGTGTGCCCTTTGTTGGCAGATGTGGCCAGCATGGAGCAGCAACAATCAGCTAAGGACTCCAACAAGGCTCCGGAAGAGGAGGAGACAGAGGATCCCTTCTTGGACACAGAGGAGCAGGAGGAGCTCAGAGCAGTGGACACAGAGCAGCTGAGACCAGAGGAGGTCAAGTCGGGGACCACGGCACGCCTGGGTGAGTCCCCCTGGGAACACATCCCTCCCCCTTAAGCTCTCTGACTTAGAGAATCTGCCACTTCTCTTGTACTGTAGAGTCTGGTCTGTTCTTTTCCATGTCCTAACCCATGGCTTAGATACGAATGTGCCTATGATCATTTCACGATACATATTTCGTTTGGGGATAGAAGGGTAGAGGAGTAGTGTTACAGGAGACCCTTGAAACTTCAGTTTCAGACAAAATCCCAGCAGTCCTCTTTAAATATGTAGAAGAAAACAGAAATAGTACATTTAGTCCAGTTGTGATAAGAACGTATGTTCTTGATTATTAGAGAAATAATACTTTTAATTATATGAAAATATATAATATTAGCATAAAATGCAGTAAAATATGTAAAAAAAATTGAGTGAGAAAGTAACCAAACTTCTTACATACAGTTCCGTTTCATAGCTGACCAAGTGCTGTTACAGGCAGTTTATTTATTTAATGCATTCAACACATGAAAAAATAAACTTTCTCAGCAGTGGTATAAATGCACATTCAAAAGAACTTGCCAAGTTCAAATACTTTTTCTTCTGCTTCCTTCCTCTCAGGGGTGTTAGAACGGCTGGCTGCACGGCCATTATGTGACAGTGGGAAAGACACAGCTCTATGGTTAGACCCTCCTAGATTCAAATCCAGACTTTCTCTCACTTTAAGATGAACAATTTGCCTCAACCTCCTCATCTGTAAAATGGAACTATGATTTTTATTTTAGTTTTTACTTTTGTCAAAGTTCTGCATGTACATACTTTAACGGATCACACAGCTCTATGAGGCCTATCAGGGTAAAGCAGCCTCCCCTCCCAGAACACTGCCTTCAGCACCACAGTGGGGAGAAGGGGAAGTTAAGGGAGTAAGAACTGCTGATGACTGTCTCAGAGAAAAGACACGGGAGCCGACGTGTGTTAACGTGCCAAGGGGTGAATGAGGGAAGCCTGCGTGATTGTTAGGACTGACACGGCACTGTGAAGGCTCAGTCTTCATGTAGACATTATGGTGAGTAAAACTGTCCCTATATGAAAACAGGCTTTGAAGAGATGGAGATGGAGACCCAAACTGGTAAAACAGAGGAAGACCAAGACCCCAGGACAGACACATCCCACAAGGAGACAGAGAATGAGAAACCAGAGAGAAGCCGAGAGTCAACCATTCATACAGCCCATCAGTTCCTTGTGGACACGACTTTCCAGGTCCTAAAACTTTCACAGACGACTGCTTTAATAAGTTGACCAAATGTACTTTATATAAGTTGCTTTTAAGTCTTTGTTTTTAGAACTTTATACATCATGTGGTGGTTTGGGGGTATCGTATCCTTACCAGTTTGTTTTAGGCATACCGTTGGTTTGAGAGGTGTTCTCTGAGCAGGTAACACTATTGTAATAGTTAACCCAGGGTCACTGTGGGTGGTCCCTGCCCTGACCCAGCCATGATGGTGGGTCTGGTCCTCGGCCTCTGGCCCTCACATCTACCCTCGTCACACCAGCCTTGTGTGAGGAGTCTGAAGGACAGTTCAGGTTATGTTGGTTCAGTAGTAAGAATCTGTCCACATTTAGGAGGAGCCAGTGAGCTGAGTTCTTTCTCCTAATTGTGTGACAGTGGCAGTCTGGATTAATCACAGGATATCTTCATTATTGATATCTTCATGGGAATTTTGTTTTTGTTTTACTGGGATGGATTTATAAACGTTAAAATTTCCTTTATCTGTCATCTCTCTACAATATGGGAACCAGAAGAATGGTTGTCTGGCATCTTACTGTGCCATTAAATTTGCTCAGGTTTTGCATCCCAGGGGTATGTATTTGGAGCTCATGCTGCAGGGGAAGTTGGTGATTCCAACCTGGGTCACCTCTCATTTGTGGTTTTTCCCTCTTAGCCTTTCTTAAAAGATGTCAATGAACTAAGACAGGAGCTGGAGAGACAGCTGGAAACATGGCAGCCACACGAATCTGGAAACCCAGAAGAAGTAAGTCCCTGGTCTTATAAAATATCTTGACTTTTGTGTTTTAAGATACAGCACTTAATAGGTTCTTAACCCCAATTACCTTTGTAAAAATGACCAAGTATATGGAGAATATAATTAAGTTGTGAAGTCTACATCTACCCTTTGCTTTCTGCCTGCTTTGCCACTAGATCTGTAGCTTAATTAAAACAGAGAAGCTGATGTGTTTCTTTAACTTCTGTTGCTCACCCTGTAATAGACATAACAGATGCAACAGTGGTTGGAATAGGCCACGTAGAACATCACCAGTGATGGGGTGTGGCAGTGTAGGTTAACCAGAAGCTTCACCGTTAGTGACTGCATCCTAGATTTACTGTATGTACACACATTTTAATTTTGTGTCTATTATCATCATTCTCACTGCATGTGTATTGACTGTTCTGCCATAAGGGAGGGGGACGGAACTGGACCCACGGAGCTGTGCACACTGCTGAGTGTGTTACGTGAGAGATTTGCACTCACTTGTCACTTCTACTTTTGAAACATGGCTCTGAGAACCCATGATTAAGTTGCTGGATC